ATCCCCCCTATGGAGGTAGTTTTTTTTTAACTATAAACCCCATATAATTTAATAATTTTATTTTATTTTTTTTTTTTTTTTTTTTTTTTTTTTTTTCTTGTGAAATTGAGCAATATTCGAACAGACTAGTTTCAGTTGTTTTAAATCAAAGTCAGTAACCAGGTCTGACCTAGTGGAAAAGGGGGCGCATGTGTTCGGCTCGGAGGGGGTCCTGAAACGTCACATCCAAGATGCTGGAAGGCAGGAGCGCGTTTGGATGTGCGCAAAGCGGAGAAGAAGAAACAATCCACAGATCTGTGACTGATTCCCAGACTGCTCGGTCACTGATGATTATAATCTGAGGTCTTCCTGTTTTGGGTGTTTTGTGCTGACATCCTTCACCATGAAGCGGGAAGTGCATCTCTTGAACTTTCTGATAACTTTCCATCTCATCAGTGGAACACCGTTTCATTACAACATGTTTCAGGGAAACGCGTATTCTGCCCCCGAAACGCGACAGAGAAACAAGTGAGTAGGCTGCACGTCTTTTTTTGTTATTCACTTCATTACGTTAGTGCAAAGGACAGAATAGAACATTTTAAGCCATTCTTTGCAGAAACTGGTGCGCCTACGTTGTGCACAAGAACGTGAGCTGCGCTGTGGTTGGAGGCACGGAGAGCTTTGCGCAACCGGAGTTTTTACCGTGTCCACCGGAGCAGCCAAACTGCGTGCAACAAGTGATGTAAGTTCCCAGAACTCACGATTATTGCGGAGAGAACTTGTTTTATTTAGCAAGTAGTTTGTCAATAGCAGAAATACGACGAATCGGTATAGACCCGTCCAGAAAACACCGTCTGATCTACAGCAGCCCGCATCACTTTAAAGATCATCCAAGTAGATATTCTTGTTATTTTTTATTTTTTATTTGTCTAAGCTTTCTCAAGGTATATATATATATATTTTACAGTGTTTCTACTTGATTTTGGTTGCATTTTTCTCTCATTTTAACTCAGTTTTAACGTTTTCAGTTTTAACTTTTAACCTTTTTTTTAATCATTCTTCTGTTTGAAATCAGAAGAATGATTCTCTGAAACTGACAAGTCTACTAAATTATGCCATGCCTGTAACACAACTCTGAGAAAACAACCATCGTTCCATGGCCAACTGTACATTTTTAATGCTAAAGATTTAGCGACCAGTTTTTAACATTTAGGATGGAAATGTCTTAACATCATCATAAATTAACATGTTTACATTTCACAGAAGTTTAGCAAATCGAAGTGTTAAATCTAAGCCCCCTTTTTATTTAAGCTGAATCTTTAGACATCTTATTACCAGGAGCCTCTAACAAAAACAGTAGTTGTGTTTGAAGTTAAGCTTGGCACACAGTGAGGATGACACATCTCTCAGATCTTTTCCCCTTTACTTGTCCACTGGCTCAATGCCCTGTCATGGTTAGAGCAAAAAATAAACTTATTACAAGATTGTGTAGCTGGTTGGAAGTACAGCAAAAAGAAACTGGAGATAGTTTAAAATAAACTGCACATAACATAATAGCTAAAGAGTTTATTTAGCTCTTATATTTTTTCAGGACTTAATTCATTTCACTACATAAATAAATGTCTGTTGCATCCTTTACTGTTGTAGTCAAACACTGTAAAGGATGCAATGCCTTTTTTTAAAGTTTAATACATTTATATGACGGTCTAACAAAAAGTAGTTCATAATAGTGAGGCATACATTTGTATCCATCCATTAAT